GTTTAGTGGTCATCATTACTAAGAGATGATGACAAAGGCTTTTAAAAATAAATACTACATTGAAATAAAATGTCAAGATATAGCTGCGTGATTTGTAGATCAACATAAGGGAGAACAAAGCATTTGTCTTTTAACAAATTGCTGAAAAATTATAGCTCAATACTTTCCAGACTGGAGAATATCATTTAACTAGTGGGTACAAGATTGGCTGAGGCTCTTTTGTAAACAACAATTTAAATAACAAAGAATTCAAAATATGGGGTGTGACAGAAAGTTTTAAAAAAAATACTGTTCCACCATCAATTTAAAGATTGCAAAGCTGACAGGTTTAAAAAAAGTGCACTTGTTTCCGTTTTAGTTTAAATCATGAAATTAGTAATACCAACACATGGGATAGTTCGTTAAAAAAGTGGTTTCATTTTAAACACAAACTGATTTTGTCTTTTCAAACAGTTATTCTTGATCAAATTAGGATAATTGTGTTTGTACATATATTTTACATGATAAGAATAAATAAAGACCTAAAGCTAATAGCAACTTTTAAAAAGATCCTATACATGGTATGGGGACATATAACAGACTTGACATGAACACCAAGTTACAATAAACAAGGGATCCAAGACCACTATCCCCACGTAAATTTAAATATACAAGTCAATGGACAGACAGTTCCATTATTGGTATCATAATTATCATCATCATCAATAACATTAAGATCAAAAAGAGTGATTTCAGAAGGGAAAAAAAAAATATCATTAATTACAAGCAAACAGCTGCCCCGAAAAATGAATTGCAGCACTCTTCTCCGTATAATAAGAGTGTAACCTGTCCATGAGAAAACAATGGTACATAATTTCTGAGTGATATCTACTACTCACACAGCAAGGACAAAACCAATCAACAGACACTAATCATATGGCAAAAAACAGAATTATTTAAGAGAACATAAAAGGGAAAAAAATATATAATTAAGACAGACATTTGTCTCCACTTGTAAAAATTGTTTTACATTTGCAACAGCTTTATAAAAGCCTTCTTTTTTTCATCTTAAAAACCATTACATTTAAATAAATTTAAACTCTTCAGTAATAAAATTCAGGAGAAAAAAAACAATTTTACTCCTAAATATAAAATTTTCATGTATACATTTTTTTTTATAGTCTAAAGTAACAGAGAGGTTTAAGTCATATATCTATTACAACATACCTCTACAAAAATTCAGCAAGTATTGTCATAAATTATTATCTTTCTTAAATTTAAGTTATATTGGATGAGTAAAATATCATATAAACAAAAATAAAGCAAATTAATGTTTTTAACAAACTAATTTCCCAAAAATTATTTCTTTTCAATAGCATAAACAAAAATTATTTCAGGAACTAAAAATCTCTAATTCATTCATATGTAAAAATTTGTTCTATAAGTTAAAATAATAATTGTAAAAGCAAAGAGTGCAAGAATAATAACAGCCAAAACTTTAGACAAAACTCATTTAAACCCTGTCAACATTAGGAGGTGGTGTGGCCACTTTAAATACCATTAAAAATTATCTTTGACAATTGTTTTGTCAAATGAAATTCACAAGTTAGAAACAAATATATTAGCTAATTTGCTTCCTATATCTTAATAAATACACAAAAAGGGGAAAGGTTAAAATAAAATATTAAAAAAATAAATAAAACAACAAATCTTGGCATTTTTACTTCTGACCATAAGAAAATTATCAAATTAAAAAATTTAAGTTATCAAATTTGAGGTTAGCTTGAACTTATAAGCAGCTTTTGTACAAATTTATTTTCACTGCCTAATAGCACAGATGACAAATCAGACTAACAGATTTATCTTGGAATTTCAAAGAAAATACAAGCACTTTATGTTAGAACCTGTATGAATTTAAAAATATTGTGGTGGTCATTCATTACCACATTAAAGGCCAATAAGCTATATTGCTTAGTTACATTACTTTTAAAAAAGCCAAATTACTAAGTATCATTAAAATGTTCCAAATATCTTTTGTAGTAGCAGCAACTGTTTAAGTTTTTGAATGAACGGATTAATACTCTAGGGATGAAAAATTAAAGATCTGTTTTTAACATTCAATACTAAATTTATGTTAATTTTTAGCTGAATTTGTATTTACATGTATCTTTCGTTTATAAAAAATTTCAGTTCCTACTGTTTGTGTATTTACATATATAGTTATGCCGTAAATTCACCAGATCTGAACATTTAAAACAAATTTTCCTGAATATTTTGCAAAATATAAATATTAATTGCCAATATAGTTAATTACACAGCACGGACATGATCCCATTAAACAGCAACTTAATACAAGCAAATGGTATTTTCTCAATTACAAGACCAAAAAAGTATCACATACGAAATAGAAAATTGATTTTGAAACTACATAAATATGTGCAGAGTCTTTAAATTTAAAACCTGTTAAATAAAAGACATCTTTAGCTGCTGGCCTCACTGACCAGAGCTTGACGCCCTCAGCTCCCTCAGCTCTGCACTAAGTGAAAGCATTGCTTGTATTTTTTGTTTACAGATCATTCAGGGGTAAGAAATGCCCAGCTTATGCTATAATGGTTAATAATTTATTTTGCATTACTACACTGTGATCGTGTGGTTTGAATGAGTGGCAAACTAAATAACTTTGTAAGTCTTCACTTCATTGGGTTTTTTAAATTTCTATTTTTCTTGCTTTCAACATTTAAAAAATTATTTCTAGCAAAGTTATAATTCAGCTCCTCAAATAATTTTTGCTCAAAATCCTACTCTTGCTTTTAGAATAGTTTTATATTAACTTACTATATATGGAAGAAAGGTGTACCTAAAATCTTAACAAAAATTTGAGATTTTAATCTTTTCTCTGCTCATACGGTCATTGAGATGTCAGAAAAGCTTAACAAATTTTAAATTATCTTAATTATTGGCAGTATTTCCAGGCTGCCTAAAAGAGGAATTAAGGAACATAAAAAAGTACACTATGCATATGCTTTGCTATTGAATCCTTGACCAATGTTTTTAAATGAATATTTTCATAAACAAAATTAAAAAGCCAAGTCCTTTAATATGGCCACAGTAAAACAATTCTAATTCACTAATTAAATGTGGTTCATGCAATTAAAGTAGTTACATTTATACAACAAATAAAAAGTTATTCTTCAATAGCTGTCTTTGAACAAAATAAACAGACACATACAGTTACGTGAGGGCTTAACAGAGAAATGTATGTACAAATGCAATTTAAGTATTCACTGAACAAAAAGGAAAGTACCCGCATCAATTCAACATTTTCTTTTTATGTCTTAACTTCTAAAGATAGCTGCATTCACATTTTATGCCAAACAAAGTTGACAGTAGAGTCCTAACAAACTCTTAGAATTCACAACAGAAAAGTCAAACACCCGGTGCAACAATTTCATTTTCTTTTCTTTACCAAGCAAAAGGCAAATGAACTTGTTTGGCCATGAAAAAAATGTTTTAGATTAAAACAACTGCCAGTGTTGCAAGGTAGTTTTTCCTCAAGGTTTGTTAAAATTCTTTGTTATGAAATGTAAGATAAACATGTTAATCCAATCAGTTTGAAGGACCTACACCAGTGGATTTTGGATTCAACACAGATCAATGTGAATTATTTAATCATTATAAATAAAAGGTTATGGGATTGTATCTGCTTATAGGTTGTCCAGTACTTTAGAGTACTTCCTCTATTTCAACATAGTGCAAAATTTATCTCTAATACATCGTTACCAATATTGTAGTCATTAAGTTAACCGCCAGGTAAATGGTCCACCTTAACATCAATGACAGCTCTCATGATAAAGTGTATGATTGTTTCAGACCAGTTCTCTTAGTTTCACACTCAAGTTCGACTTTATCACTTCCCTTGACCCCCTCGTCCAAGCATTATACATGAGATAGATAGTGTTAAATTGTGTAGAAGCAATTAGGCATTCACCAAGAATGCTGAGGTTCAAAGAGTTATAAAGATCTTCCATTCCAAAATGAGATTGTTTTATATTAAAATTATAAAAGTTCTTTAAAAATCAACAGTAGTAATGAATCTTTTCAATATATATTTTCAAAAAACTTACTAGATTTAAGAGTAATATTTAAAAAAAAATATTAGCCCTTAACCTCCTTTTCAATAAAAAAAAACAAAAACATGTTTTGAGGTAAAAGGTTCATATTGAGGTATCATTTCAGTGTATTTTTGTGAGGCTGCATGATTCCTGAGCAGCTGATGAGGTATTTCTGGTTGTGTAATGTTTACTGACTGTACATTCAGTTCTAGTTCCTGGCTCATGCATCACGCAATATTCGGGGGACTGGGAGGGGAGTGCGGTGGAGAAAATACAACAGCTGTTTGAACTTCCAACTTCCTGGATAAAATGCTGCCCGAATCATTAGCATGCTGCTGTCCCCCTTCATCTATGCTGCCGCTGCTGTTGAGCTCTGCGGTTGCTGCTGCTATTGTTGCTGTGACTGCTGCCAGAGAACCCTGGGGAGGTGGCAGGGTGGGTGACAAGAGAAGAGGGGGAGGAGGGGGTGGAGGTAGGTCTGAATGAGAGATATGCTGACGCATACCTCTTGGATGCTGACGATGATTGTGTTGAGGTCGGGTGTTGCTGGATAGATTCCTGCTGCTGGAACAAGATAGCTGCTGAGAAGATTGTGTTGAAGACGACTGTGAGGGTGATAACAGAGATGCTGGAGGAGAATGTGACATATCTTCTACATTCTGCTCAGACAACGGACAGCCATCTGTTGTTACCTCTAAAGCCTGCGCATCATAATTCTGACCTGTCGAGATATTTAAGGTATCATTCATACAATTCACAATCCCTGTGTGGGACTTGACTTCACTACCATGGCCAGAATCACGATCATTGGCAGAGGCATCTTCGTAACTTTCTCCTTCAGCTGCGTTCAGCTCTCCATCAATTTCCCCTAGAAACTTTGCCAGGGGAGACACTTCTCCAATCACAGCACCCGTTGATCTATCGATGAAAACCCCTCCAATTTCATCTACTTGTCGTCCCTTCTCCCAACCTCTATGCTTGCTACTTCCTCCAGGTGAGCTTGCAGGACTAGAACCATTTGGGTGGAGTTCACTGCACGGCATGCCAGCACGCCTACAGCCAGTCCCACTGTCTTCACTGCTGTGGTCACCAAGCTCATCATCATTATGATCAATATCATCTAGTGAAGACATTGGAATCAACTCAATGCTACTGGCCAATGTGTCACTTCCATCAGTTGAAGTTAACATAGCTGCCATCAGTCCCTGGAGTTCCTGGAAATATAGAGCAGTGAGAACATTCTTATACTTTGAGAAGGTGATTAGTACTAAGTATAAAAGCATAACTTGAATGTTTCAGATTGAAATCCTGGCAAAACATAGCATACCTAAGTGTAACTTTACATAAATAAAGGCTTAATTTTTAGGGTTTTGAAATTTTTAATTTGAAAACCTATCTTTGCTGAAAGTATTCTTCATAACACGATTTCAAGTTAAACACGACCTGTAGTTATAAAATAACAAGAGAAACAACCTACCAAAATAAAATGATAATGCACAGTAAGAAAATATGTTTTAATTTGCCCATTTTTAAACCAAAATGACTTCACAGCCTAAGTGCTTTGATCCCTGAACTTTATTGTCATAGCCCAATGTCAAAAGGAAAAATTATTTATTTTGGGAAGGGGTTTTATACTGTCTATATCATTTGAACTAAAAAGGGGTGCCAAAAACATTTTCCAAAGTTAAAAACTTTCCCTAAAATTCCCAAACTGAGTTGAACCCATGAGACTATGCATACCAAATTAAATCTGTATGCAGAGATTTTGATGTCACAATTTCAGAATCATATCTTTTTACCAATATTTGGAGAAGACAAATTGAGCTTATACACACACATATATGGTGGATGAGACTCAACCTTGAATGGCAACTTATCTAAGGGAAGAGAAACTCTGAAATCAAAGACATATGGAGACCCATCGGCGGCATGACATTGATGCAATGTGTTATTTTTACCCAACCCTTTATTTTATTTATTTTTGTATTCTCTATTTCGAAGAGTACTTGTTAGAATTTAACATTGGGAGCCAATTGAAAACCTAAATTTTGCATAGGCGACGGGAAATGGCGTAACCCAACAAAATATACGTCATAAGTCACTCGAAGAATTGGATCTGCAAACTTGTAATTATTTTTTAAAAATCTAAGCACCAGTCACCTAATTTTGGAAATGACTTCTTTTCTCAGATAAAACATTACAGTCCTCACTGGTTTTGACACTTAGAGTGCCAACAACCTTTATGTCAACTGATAAGATGTATTCTTAGTCATTTATTATTATCTTTTTATAGTCCACATGCCATTAATAATAGCTCTGACCATATCTTGCAGGAAGAGGGTAAGTTACTGACACCTGCAATAACGCACAATACGTATATACCTATAAAGTAAGAATATTTTGTATTCTATGCATTAACTTGATTAACTTTTTCTGAAGGGATGTTGAGTGATCAAAAAAATTTGTTATCCGAAACATCCCCATCCCAAATTAGTTCGGAAAATGTACATTCTACTAAATGTATATATGTACAGAAAATGCTTCAAGTGAAATTATCTTTTAAAAAGCCCTTCAAAATAAAATACCAGAACTAAAGAAATTCATTTTTATAAATGTATTTTTAAAAATTACCTCAGAGTTATTGCTGCTATTTAGGTCTCCGGAGGATCGTGAGATAATTGTTTGACCAACCAACTTATGGTTTGCTTTAACAAAGCCATTTGGACGAAGACCATTTGGTGTAATAATGTCACATCCACCCTTGGAGTCTGATTGCTCATTTTCAGGTATCTGTACAGGAGTTGAAACAAACTTATAATGAACTAAAAGAAAATTCAATTGAAAAAGCGAAGTTTAAAAATTAAGATATAAAATTTCTGCAACTTTTTTTCCCCTTCTTTCTGGCAAAGCAACCAAAATGGAGCTCATATACCACAAGACTTACTTTGTTAACCAGATATGTTCTTAATGACTTGCATCCAGCAGCACACTAACCTGATGTAGCATTGGCGTTGATTCATGCAAATTGGTAACATCTTGAACATAGTTTCCTTGGGTCATGCTTATAATGTGTGCATGTCCATTTCCTGGTGTGTGGTGACCAGCATGATTTGGTGGTGGTGAGATGTGACCATTTCCTCTGTATATTGGGTGATGACTAGCATTAGGGTCTTGATCCCTTAACATTAATCTTGAAAGAAATTTAAGGTCAGAAATGATTGATTTTTTTCTTTCTTTTAAATAGAAAGAGATGTTAATAATACCTATAGTTATGATCACAATACGCCCTTTTTATATTAAGATCTAGTCAACCATAGCTGCTCAACTTTAAATCTAACAGTCAAAACAAGATAATTACCTGTGTCGGCGGTAAACTACAATTATAACAACCAATGTTAAGCTAAACACTCCTGCCACTATTCCCAAAATCAGGCCAATTTCGCTGTTGGTCACTTGGGCTGGTGTATCTGTAGTAACTGTAAACAGAATATACCTATGGTAGTTTTCTAACTCAATTATCATAAGAAAACATTAAAAATCTGTTCTCAACTCAATCCTTGCATAAATCAACGGGATTCATAAAAATATACACCTTCTGTGAATTCTCCAATTTTAAAAATAATATTAACTGCATTTGGCTAAAGTTAAAGAAAATAAATTTAATTCAATGCAATAGCAATTTAGAGCGATGGAATAGCAATTTAGAGCAATGCATAGAAGAAAATACAATTACCAGAAATAATGCTTAGCATACATACTCATTCTAATGCAGATGGGGGGGGGGGGGGTTAAGAAAACAATGTATCAGATCATGACCAATGTTTAACTTAAATATGGAAACAAAGATTTCAAAAGTAACATTTTAAACAGATTTTAATAATAATGTTGAACAAAATAAAACTTTTAAAAGTTTTTTTTTTTTTAAAATTGCAAATGTATCAGAACAAATCATTGTCAAAAACAAAATCTTGGACCAAAAAAAAATAAAAAATTTTTTCCAATAAATTTCATTTTATATAGATTAATCTTTTTTAAGTATGGAAATTAATTTTTAAATTGTCATTTTGACAATTATGAAATAAAGTTAAAATATTTCAAATACTAGCATCCCTAAATTTTGACACATTCCAAACTTCTGAAATGAAACTTACCAAAGCAATAGCTTTACCATGATAGTTGTATGTAAATTATTAGGAAAGAAAACAGAATAAAGCTGATACTCAAAAACATTAGCAGGTTGATGTCTGTTACACTGTTATAGACTTCATCAAACACCATCCTAAAACAAAACTCCAATTGACTATATACACAGATATAGATTTTTAAAATCAATATTTCTGATTCAACAGTTTCCTTCCCTTTATACCTGCTTTACAGATTTAATAAATTTTAATTGGAAGAGCTTTTTTTTCTGGTAACTATTCTAATGCAGCTTGGGTGTTAACATACGGGGGTGGGGTTGTTTTGAGAGAAAGGTTTTTTCCATTCATGCAGTTTTGTGGCCTGATCAGTATGGGCAAGTCAGGCAGCGTGTTCTGGGTGAGTCAACAATAGGCTTGGCGCTTCTGGCTACAGTTTTTGTTCATGTCATTAGTTAGTACAGCTTATCATTATTCCAAAGTATGCCATCACAAGGATTGAAATAAAAATGTAAAAAAAATTAATGACTTTTTAAGACAACATGATCAAAACCATGAACATATAGCCTTCAAGTTTGAAGACTTAACTAAGGGAGGATGAAGGGCATTCACTACGGCAAAAACTACAGTGAATGAATATTTGACATAATGCTACCAGAAACTGATGTGATCTGTCATATAAAGTACCGGTACTCCTGAGATACAGTTTGGGCATCTGTGATTTCATAAAACCAAAACAAAACAAAAAAATAATTGTCATTTACATTAGTTGAATATTCACAAATCATCCCAGCCCACTATCATGTAAAAATGAATAGAACTATTTACAACAGTAAATACACAATAAACACAGTCAAATAAAATTCCCAACTAAAACGAGAATGAGGAGATGGATGTCTGCAACATAATAAAAAGCGGGCTCAAGGCCCAAACTTGAAATATTCTCAATTTACTTCCTGTCCTTAGGAAAAATATAAAAATCTTTCTGTCTTACATCATTTTTAAGAAATGCTTTGCATAATATTTTATATAAATTAACTAGAACTTCTTGGACTCCCATTTTAGAAATGGATATTTTCACATTTTAAAACTTTAAACCTTTAATACCAAATAATGTCACTTCAGATACAAAAATCAAAGAATTTAAATGATGAAAAAATTTAGGCATTGCATGAATTGACTAAGACCTATTCTATATAGACTAGCTTAAAAATTTCAAGATCAAAATGCGAGATAGGAAAAAAAAACATGGATATAAATTTAAAAAAACTTTTAAATATTTGATTAAGCCTTTAAAAATATGTTGCTATTAATAATTTATAATTAAAGAGATTAAAAGGATAAAAATTAGGGACATTTAATCATAAAAGTCTTAAATGAGGGTTTAATAAATATTTCTTTGCCAGTACAGGAAAAGGTCAATTTTTCTTTATCTGATGCGTTTGTGCTACAATGTGTCACAAGTTAATGACTTCAGACATATATAATGAGTGATATTTCAAAAATGATGCAGTTGAGTTCGTAAAGATACATACTGCTTATCTATTGCAAGAGGTAGATACTGTAATGTAGTCAAAGTCTGTGTGTTAAGTATTGAGTGCAATTCCTACAACACATGCACACATATCATTCACTAAGACCGGTACACACACCAAAAGAGTGTCTGTTAAAGAAACATTAATGATTAAAAAAAACAGTTGCAAGCTAATAGCAATAATTAAATAAATTAAAGTTTATTTTTAACAATTATTTTAATGACACTTTCCTTTTTTTTTTTTTCTTCTTCATAGAGACTGAGGATGGGTAAATGAATAAAGCAATATGTTGACTGATCCCTGAGTTGTAACACACGAGGTAGATCCATGTCAGGTTCTTTAAGCTTACTGATTTGGGTTAGCTACTGGTGCACACTATCCTATTACTTTCAGCCCCCATTTTCCTTATTCTTTATATATCAAAATGTGTATGCTAAATAGTTGTAAATAATCTTGTAAACAGATCTCAAAATAACCAACTCCCTAAAATTTAACTAGATTGTAAGTGATACAATTTTCATAAAAATGCTTCCCATGGAGGCTGATAAGAATGGTACTTCTAAACAATTGCTATTCTAAAAAAATAAAATAAACAAAGATGAATTCAGTGACACATGAGACCTATGGTTTAAAGTAAATTAACTAGTTCTAAATGCTAACACATGACATTAGAGAGAGGGGGGGGGGGGGGGGGGAGAGAAAAGAGGGGAAAAAAAAAAGCAATGTTTTTTTTAAAAAAATACTTTTTCTTTGCTTCAAAAATAATTTTAAAGAGCTATACTTTGCATAAAACATTTTGCATATAAATTCAAAACCTGTCAAATTTAATTGATTAGTTTAGTGGTCATCATTACTAAGAGATGATGACAAAGGCTTTTGGGGGGGGGGGGGGGGGGGGGAGAGTAGTGGGGTGATCAGCTTTATGAGCTGGTCGTAGGAGATTTCTATAATTTTCTTGTCAGGTTGATTTGTTAATTGAAAACAATGACGAAAAAAGCAATTAGATCTAACCAATGTCACCCTAAGGCAAAATAGGGTCACAAGTTTGGGTTCTAACAATGCATTCCAAACTGTTCCACACATTTGGATCAGATTGTCACATTTTATAACATTGTAGCAGCAGTTGTATTTTATTTTTATAACAGTCAGAGCATCTCTCATTTCATTACAGTTTGATACCAGCACCAGACCTCTTTTTAATACCAGTTACAAGACTGCAATAATGACATTCATACTTGTTCATTGACATTTATAGCATAACACAGGCAGACAAAGACAAGTGTTTTTATTTCAAGTGGCAGTCATCTATTTTTTGAAATGTTCAGTATGTTTCAGACATGCCAAGCGAGTAGAGTAACTGTCCTATACAATAAACCATAGTAAGTTTATTAATCTAGCCAGTAACTGTCTTATACCTTAAACTGTAAGTTTATTAATCTAGCCAGTAACTGTCCTATACATTAAACTGTAAGTTATTAATTTTTAAGTCTTTTACCTACACAAAAATTATTTTTTAAAGTCTGGATTTCGAAACAAAAATTATTTTCCATTGTACTGTGGTGCTTGTCCTTGCATATTATTTTATTATATGGGTCAACATGAGAGTGTTATACACTTTTCAAGCTTTTAAACGAGTACAAATGTTAATGATATAAGTTTTACTAAAAATAATCCATTATTGCTTTCTTTCTATATATATATATATATATATATATATAATGCAGAAGTTTTTAAATATAACTATGTTGCTATTCAACATTTTCTTAAAGCTCATTTACTTAACTGTATGATGGAATCTTGATTAAAAAATATAAATGAAAACTAATTTTACCAATTGTATTTGGAAGTACAGGTTCCTTGCACAGCAAAGATGAGTCATACTGACATTTGAATTCAATAGTCAGATTGTCTGTGGGTATTCCTTGGCCAACACTATTCACAGCAGCCAACTTAAAGTAATAGCGACCAGCGTCCAATTCTTCAACTTGTGCTGATATACCTGGTACATAGAAAATTTAGTTGATTGGTACTTTGAGATCAAAGTTTCTGATTTTACAATTTCATCCTTTTGTTGGTTATCACAAATAAAAGTGAGGAAAATATGCACCACAGATATAAACTTAAAAGAGTGGTTATTTGCTAACATAATTTGCTAGTTTAATTTTAATTATTACACACATATAATTTCTGTTAACCTCTGAAACCTAGCTTTTCACTTAAAATTTAAAAAAAATACAGAGGGATGAAGATGGTGGACCTAATCTGTGGGCTATCTATGTTCCAGGTAATAATTAAATGGCAGGAAGACCAAGTTTGCTGAAACGTAGTTGAGAAGCAACGGAGAGGGTAAGAGACTTTTGAACCGGCAGCTCAAATCTGACATTTGTGGAAACTATTTAGTTTGATTTATTATTAATTTTAAAAATGTTAATACTTATCCATTAATTATATGCTATATCGTACATTCCTTTCAGACCTTTAGTGTTCAACATTATTTTCTACAAATATGGATAATAAAAGGTTTAAGTTATTAATAAATGTCTGTAAGTAATAAAACTAATAATAACCTGCTAAAACTAATAATAACCTGCTAAAACTAATAATAACCTACTATACCTTTCTCTGTGAATGTAAAAGGAGGCTGCTGTGTTATTTCCTTCCACTTGAAATCTCCTGTATTTTCACTCTCTTTAGTGTATAAAATTACATATGATGTAATGATTCCATTGGGCTCTGCAGGTGGGAGCCATATTAGTCGCACGAAACCAGGTTTGATTATCTCCAGTGTGAAGTTCAGTGGAGCGGATGATTCTGTTAAATAACACAACAGCAATTTTTAAATCACAAAATAAAAACAATATTAAAAAATGGAATGCTTTCTGGGTTTTAGTATGAAAGGTTAAATATTTCATTTGAAAATTCAAAAATATTCTTAATGGAATTATTTGACAATATTTCTTTGAAAATGCAGACCTGTTTACCCTCAATCTCCTAAAATCATACAATATCGTTTCAAAATTGTATCGTACACTATAGTACCGATTTCTTAATAGTTAATAAATAATCCTACATTATTTACAATATTTACAATAACTACTCCCATTGCGTGTCTAGTGGGATCGAGTTAATCTGGCATAAAAAAATGGTAACTTCTAAAATTAGATGAATGATTGTGCCTATTTCCCATTAACATATTACAGTCTAATAACTACCACAAGCTGTAAGTGGATGAAAGGAAGAGAGCATATTAACCCACAAACTGTGGTCGGCCGAAAAAATTGGCCGAATTTCTCGTTCTGTACTGTGGCGGCCAATAAAAGACACAGTCTGATAGCAACTTCCAATCCAATATTTAACCGGAATTATAGCCACGTCCTTTTATTAATAAATAAATCTTCCGGTTCAAGCTGTTTCGTTAATAACTTGAAAATAAATACTTTTTAATCAGAGTTTTGTATAGCTATTTTTTTAAGCTAAAATGGTTGAGGCCATGGCTGGGCCTTCAGTGCAAGAACTAATAGAAATATGTTTGAAAGCTTTTTAGGATAGGTTTTAAGTGATACTGATGATGATTTTAACATTCCCCATGACGATATCAGTTGAGATTATTCTTCTCGCGAATTTTATACCAGTCTTAGTGATACTGAAGTAGGCCTACAGAGGCTACTGTTAGACTTCGAGCCAGGCCCAGGAGGTTGGGCAAGGACTGAGTGAATTTTAGTCACAGAAGCTACAGATTATAGTTCAGAACTAATAAATTTTATAGTTTAACAACCCAAATCAGGTCCACAGTTCCTTTTTAAATGTTTACTAGTCAATAAAAACTATTTTGCCTGAGATTTTGTATTTTGTACTTGGTTTTAGCAGTGGTCCCAGTTTCTTATATAAATGACCTAAAATTACTAAAATTGCTTTCAGGGGTTTAATTGCAATCAAAACCTTAGCAAAAAATACATTTTCTTAAAGATAAATGAATTGGCTACAACATTTAGATTTGTGTTTTAAGTGAATCTATAAAAATTAAAGATGTTATGAGCACTTGAAAGCAAGACATTTTGTTGATTTTTTTTTCTTGAGAACTCCAAGGTCAAGGACACTGAGTAAAAATTTTTTTACAGGGTGGGCAATATGGTCAACTTTATTCCCATCCATTTACTTTTCTAAAAATATATACTTATAAGGGTCTTCTATCAATATTTCTGTCATTTAATGCAATTTCAAATGGCACTCAAAACACTCTGAAAAGCTCCACACCACAGAATGATGCATGCCACAGTTTATGGGTTAAAAATCCTTTTTTAATTGTAAAAACTACCGGAATGTACAAATTTTCAAAACGGTCTCTTTAAATCATAATTCTAACAGGTCTTGGTGTACAATCGCAAAAGATATCTAAAAATCATACAATTTACACCAAAATCTTATAATTTACACCAAAATCTTATAAGTAAAAAGGTCTGAAATTATACTTAACTCAAGCCTGATGGGTGCTTCAAGCAAGAACCAAGAAAATATGTACAATTAAGCCCCAAAAAAAGTAAAAATAACTCACTGCCTTCTTTTGTTTGTACTGTAATAAGGTTGCTGAAGTCTCCATTACCACTTGCTATCAAAGCACGTATCTTAAATTCATACCACTTGAAAGGCTCTAACTCAGGTACAATGATTGAAGTCAGGTTACTAAGATGACAGAAATTAATAAGCAATCAATTAAAATTAATGCAACTTAAGTATGTTCCCATTTCTTTTTAAATTTCAACTCCTAATAAACACAAATAAAAAAAAAAAATCTGCATATTTTTGCACACCACCTTTACCGAGTTATGATGACATAAGTTAATCATTACACAACTGTGTCTTTCAACCCCTTTAGCTTTTCTTGTATTTGAATGCAACAATAACTTAATGTTGCCCTTTAAAACTCTTAGTTTCTGTTTGTTAAAATGTTTACACAATAACTATCACTTATCCATCAAGCCATATATCCCATCAAGCCATATATTCATCTATTTTGTAAAATTTGCACTGTTATTTTTCTTTAGTGAGTCTAGGTAAAAATGCACTGTGTTAAAACAAAAACTGTCAGATATTTACTAACTTTTGACATAAAAGCTGTTTTTATTTTAAATTTTGGACAAAAGATTAGTAAATATGCTATTGGCAAATGTTTCACCATTTTGCTGAACTATTTGCCAGAATGAAAATCTTTCACATAAAATGAGTTGAGGCAATATTTTTTTTTGTCTAACGCAATTTCAAGCAGTGCTCTATTTGTGTGGTATTTTTTAATATTTATTGTGTCAAGTGTTGCACGATAGACAAATTCAGGTTGATCAAAAACTAGTAAATCATAGAAAATAGATCTAAAAGTAATTCATATGCAGAATAAATAGTTAAATAAAACTAAAAATTACCTTGTTCTGCATAACCCATCTGATTTGTCTAGTTCAATACAATAGCAGACTTCATATGCTGTGACACTAGCTGCAATGGGTGACCAATCCAATAAGACGCTGTTTGAAGTGACTTCTGATGCTATAAAATTACTGGGCACCAGCTGTTGAGCTAAGGCTTCCAGTTTAAAGTCACGAGTTATAGGAGCTGATAACCCTGACTTAGTTTTAGCATACAGAGTGACCACATATGATTTCTCATTATCTGTAAATGAGAATGTTAAAATTGGATAAAGATCAACTAGAAAAAAAAGAAAAAAGTGTTCATGAAGGAAAAATTATATTTTCACCATGCAAGATTTCAAATTACTTGAGCAAAGCCTGATACCATTGCATACATAAATAGAGGCTTACAAGACAAGTATTTGTGAAATGATGGGGGGGGGGGGGGTTTTATCAAAAACTAATAAAAATGATTTCAAATTACTTGAGCAAAGCCTGATACCATTGCATACATAAATAGAGGCTTACAAGACAAGTATTTGTGAAATGATGGGGGGGGGGGTGGTTTTATCTAAAACTAATCAAAAGCGTACAACTAACACTCGCCTAAATCTGTGAGCAAGTAGGATTGATCTGATGGCAATAATTTGACTAGCATGGAGTCATCATCATCTTCACCAACAGGAATTTCAAGCTCATAACCAATGACAGAATGGTCACCAGAAGGAGGTGGATCTATTTTGGGAGCCTGCCATTCAAGTTTAACAGCTGACATGTTGACATACTTGATACTGAGCATAGGAGGACTTGAGTCTGATTGCAAAAAAGTACACAAATTTGTATTTGCTAAGCCAATTTTGAAAATATAAAAAGTGCTAATTTATGAATAATATGACAGTAAAAAAAGAGAAGTAACAGATTTTTATTTTTAATGCACACAAGAAAAAAAACAAATTAAACATCATATAACTAAAGCAGAAGTGGCCAACAAACATAACTTTGCACGCTATATTGATAGTGATTTAAATTTTCAAAAGCCATGTTTATAAACCAAATAAATGAGCTAAACATAACTCTTTATATAATAATTTATCTGTTCTTACTGAACACAACGAAAGTTAAATGAACACAGCAAAATAAAACTAAACTAATATATTTTTTTAATCTTATTTCTTGCTTAACTTTCAACATTTATTTCTATGTATAATGAAAGATGAAGTTTATTTATTATGCATCCTACAGCTGAAAAATTTAATGTGGAGGAGACCCACAGACCGGCCATATCTGAATTACGACATAGAGCCAAAACAAGCCAATATAAATACAATACACTTCTTACTATCTGCTGGCGGCAAAGAAAATGTGGTCCATTGCACATTATCACGCTTTGGAAAACCAGCACTCGTAGATGCCAGTACTAATACTTCATATGTACTTCCAGGCTCCAAGCCAGCTGTTGAAGAAATGTTTAGATTTTATATATTTTTATGCTATATAATTATGAAGCTAACATCAAATTCACTAAAAGATATTGGTGGCTCTAAATACTCTAATAGCCCTGCTTTAACATACTCATACCAAAAGCCGGCTTGCAGCAATAAATAATCACTTCATGCATAAAAATGTGTTCATATTTCCAGAAGCAAAAGATGAAACTCAATTCAAACCCACATGACACACTGCTCAATATGATCAAAATGAAAGAATTATAACAAATTAACTTACTTATGAGGCAAGATGTTTGGTCAGCTGATAATTCTGTTACAATTTCAACTTCATCAATAGGCTGACGATAGTACACTCGGTAGCCTGTAACAATCCCCCTGCTCTGGGCAAGACTAAGTGGTGTCCAAGTGACCAGAGCATTGTAATATTCATGAACAGAGACAGTTATCTTGGGAACGGCTGCTGGAACTAACAAATTAGAAAGAAAGGGTGGGTGTGGTGGGGAGAGAGAGGAATCTTAACATCATAATTTTTTTGCTACATAAAACTTGAAAACACACATTTAAACACCAACTAGATTCTAGTGCAAGTTTTCTGAGTGATTTTAAAAAGTCTTGACTTTCATGAGTTATTCCAAAGCATGATAGTATTTTTTTTGTAAGCTGTTCCCACAGCAAAATGACTACTTGCAGCAGCACAGTGAGCCGTGGAGAAAGATTAGGATAAGGACTAGTGTGTTGTGTAGTTTGCTTATATTTACTCTGTAACTTTCAAAATAGATAATAGATTTAAAATATTAAAATCTATTCCTTAACATGTAGAATTATTTTTTATTTGCAAAATTACATCTATATTTTTAGACCAGAAAATACTCCAAGATAATTTATTATAATAAAAAAAATTTAAAAGCTATGATATTGTCTTTCCAACATGTAAATAAGATAGGTGAAATACTTCAGATGTCATACATGAGCTGTACATTTAATTTGGAATTACCTTTATAAAAAAGGTAAAAGTGTGGCAAGGAGCTAAAAATGTTAGGCCTTTTGTGTAAATGCCTAATCTTTATAATAGATTTATGAATTGTTAATACATATTGCCCACCATAGTGTGATTGTTTCTAAAGTGTCGCATTGCACCACAGTGCATCTCAAAAGGATGCCAGGGGCAAATTTGTACATTTGAGAATTCTAAGAGTAATTTATTAAACAAATTAATGTCATTTTCATCTTCCATTGAGAAAACAGAAGGGTGTACAGAGAGAATTTGAATGGTCAATAAACAATTTTATTGGTGGGAACCACTATGTAAAAAAAAAATCCTCACCATGAATAAATCAATTTACTTTATGACAGTTTTTAAATCATAGTATTTTTAAATGTTATTTTTTACTTGATGTCTACAAGGAGCTTCTATTAAATTTATTAAAGCTGGGATCAAAGAAGTGAGTGTGAATGGTGCATTTTAAAACAGCACTAATTACCATCTTCCAAGGTCTGCACATACACTCTGTCTGTTAATTCACTCAGTCCACGTGTATTATAAGCATAAACAGAAAACCAATAGGTGGTATAAGGCTCCAAGCCTACAACTTCTGAGAAGTGATGTGAAACAACTTCTGTTTTTGATATAAATTGTTGTTTAGCTGGCTCATAGTTACCTTGATGAAAAAAGAAATTAAAATTTTTTTTGGTTAATTCTCTTAATATTTCTAAATTTGTGAGGAAGGTTGTTACAAAGAAATTTTAATTGCATTTCTGAAAGATAGCTCTTGCAAGAATATGAACTCCATTAAAATTGTAACTGACTAAATTTCATCATGTAATTAACTTCAACTAGCTTCAAAAGATAAATTGAACAAAAAAAAATTGCTTACCAACAGCTTGATAATTCAACACGTAAGGCGTCCCTAATGTTTGATTATGATCAAAAGTTATATTGACAGCCGTAGAATTTAGAGCAACAGCTTTGACATTGACTGGTTTAACTGCTGCAAAGGCTGCAATTTTTAAAACAATTGTGTTAATTTCAGATTTCAAGTTCTCTTTTTCTCACTAATTTATTCAGTTATGTCCATGAATTTGCTGAACACCCATCTGACCCTGCATTTAAATAATGATAATAAATAATACAGGAATATTTAATATATACAGTGTGAAAAAAGTAAGATATTGAGAAAAACTGATTCTAGATTCATGATTACTTGCTCAGTTGAAATCCCAAATTGCCTTCAAATAATGAATTTAATTAAAATATTTAAAGTTTATATTTAATTTTAAACAATTTTTATGCATAATAACAGCAGTTAAATTCAACCACCTTCATTTTCTTTTAACATTTTTAATGCAAGACACAAATTAAAATATCAGTTTTAAAATATTAGTTCTTAAAACTTACGACTGACAGTAATATTCAGATAAATCAATATCATTGCTTGACCAGCATTATTTTCAACCAGACACACATAAAAGCCTGAATGATATTTTTGTTGAGTGAATAATATAAGTTGCTCATTTCCTCTTGGCTTGTTTTTCTGAAAATTTGAAAACAAAGAAATAAATATATATTTATATGAATTAAAACTAGAGAAAACATTTTTCTTAGGATATGTAAGTTATGTGTGATTTTTATGTTTCTTTTGGCACTAGTTTATTACTGAGGTTTGAAAATTGTTAACTCAAAACATTATTTTCATTTTAAGCAGAATCATTTAAATGAAACTGAATTTTTCTCTGAAATAAAATATTTTTAATGACATGGCTTTTAAAAAAAAAAATTTAAATAGCAATGTCTATTACAAATTATAAATATATTTTAAGTTAACAAAATTATTTAGTAAAACATTTCATTTCAAGCTCACTGTAATTGTAACAGGAAAAACATCTCTGTTTTCTGATACTAATTTTCCATTGTGATACCACGTGAAATTGGCTTTGGGAAGTACACCAGAAGTATAACATCTTAAATTGGTGGAGAGTCCTACAGAACTTGCAATACTGGACTCTTGAGTTTCTTTTGGTGGTACTGCAAGATATGAAAAAGGGATTCATATACATATATGGTAAGCAGACACTATATCACATATCTGATAAATTGAACAATAGGTCTAGTTGAAAAAAAATATTTTCAACATTTATAACAAGATTTAAAAGGGTGTGATGACACAGGATGGCTGCTAGCTTTTGCGTGTAGTAGGAAATTATTTTTTGTTTTGGTATAAAATTGCTGTTTAACCAGAACGATTTATTTATTTTTCAACTGTCAGTGTTTTTATTCAAAAATGGTGAAAATGATTATGTACAGTGTAATCAAAACAAATGGCCATTTGTTTTCATCAGTAAAAGAATCTTAATGTATTTCCTAGTGAGTTTCAATGAGGGTGGTTGTTTTTTGTTTTTTTTTTAAAGACCTTAAATGCCAACATTATTTTGAAAAAATCTTACTTTCAACTTGCAGGGTGATTTGCTGTGCTTCTGAATTAGTGCGACCAGTGGCTTTACATTCATATATTCCAGCATCTTTAGCAGTGGCTCTTGCTATTTTCAGATTACCTGGACCAAATATTTCATGGTCAAGTGATTCAACTTTTCCTGAAACAGGCAATAAGACTTTGATGCACTAGTCATGTACACATTGCTAGTTAAAGTTGAAGCTTGCCCTATAAATATTATGTCTTTTTCAGAAACTATTCACTTAGCTGGTGATATTAAAAACTACAAATGGTCGATGGTCACATGCCGGGTAACCAAGAAAAAAAAATTATGCTGGATGCTATTAGACTATACTTGATGACATATATATATATATATATATATATATATATATATATATATATATATATATATATATATATATATATATATATATATATATATATATATATATATATATATATATATATATATATAAAACACACATATACACATACACAGTACTTTTTTTAAAGAAAAAAGGATCTGGAAATTACATCTTTATCATCTTTTACTTAACAAATGTCTATATATATCGAATAGAACATTTAGTTGTCTAAGTTTTGATCTCTGATAATTTATTTTGGATAGATACCCTTGTTAACTCTGTCACTTGCACTGCACAACAAGGTAACAACAATGTGTAGAGGTTAAAGTATATGATCTTTATTTCTGTTACAATCGCTTCCACTTTCACTCGTCTGATACTCTGCTCTAACTGTCATCTCTTCTCCTATCCCGAAAGTCCATAAACTGCACTATTCTGTCCCTCAACTACTATCTCTCCTCTTTGATTGCGTTCTGTCCTCTGACTCCCTCTACTGCTATGCGGCTGAGTTCTGATCTAGTCCTGACTAACAAACCCCTCTTATTAGTCCCAGAATTAGTGATGTAATCTCTAGAGATTTTTTTCCAGGATTATCTATTTCTCCATCTGTTCCAGAAGTTGGTTATCTCCATCACTACATGGACATTTCTCATGAACGAGCGACCAGCCTCTGCACTCCAATGCCTTTCATGTATAACTTAACTGTCACCATACTGTCATCCTAGCCTTGTCCCCTTGCAATCTGATACTCAACAACAGGTGGTCAGTCTTTATACCTGTGGGAATTTCCCCACTCCCTGTGCTACTCAGGTTTGGTCTATAAGCTATTCATTTCATAACATTAATTTAATGTATTGTATATATACATAGTAAATTCCTAAGTTTTGTCCAATTCCCCTCCAACAAACTTCTGACTCTTTTCCTTGCTGTTAGTATCTATGACTATGGCAGAATGTTCTCCTCTGTCTAAACACAGATCAATGTACTTTGAAGGATAAAAAAATCTCAGGGGTGGTCTGACAAGTTTGATAAACAAAGGTGAGCCCTCTAGTACTTCTGCACATAAATGCAACTCTCTACTATTCTTTGTCGAAGCATGGTATAAGACTTAAAATTGTTTCTATAAATGGTTTGACTGAATCTATTTTTTCCTTTAGTTTCCTTGACATCATCCCCACTAGTCTGTGATCAGCACAACGCAAAAGAACAAAAGAGAAACCAAATATTAAAAAAAATAATTTTAGTGGTGAATTCATTCCATACATTTGATACAGCATTTAACATATTCTATGAGGGTAATTTTTTTGCTAATCGTGGTTGATTCATTATCATTGAAATCTTATTATTAGATTAAGCAATTTTTTTAAACCACATTTTCCCTCATTTCTTCACTGTTATAATTAAACAATGTTCATAGACGCATATGTAGAATGAAGAATACAACACACTTCAACTCCGTTCAGTTGATCAATTGCAGTTTCAAAACAATGGAATGGTTGATTTTCTTTGCTACTTAATATACATTTTGAAAAATGTTTGGTGAGCTCAACTTTTGCTTACTCTGTCAGAATAGGTTTTGTGATTGTTGGTTCATTCTTTGGAAAGTTACATTCCCACTTTTATTTAAACTCCAAGAGTTCCAACTTTTCTACAAGCCAAGTTTGACTTTTCAAACACAGAAACATTCCTTTTTCAAGCAAAAAAATCATTTTTTTTAAATCATAGGTCTAGCAGCCCAGCTTTAAAAAATCTCTTTATTTAAAAAAAATCTATGTGTAAAAAATATTTAAAAAAAGATTATCAATTCACCTACATTTTTTAAAAATAAAGATATTATTTACTTTTGGCACATAGTCAATTACTGCACACACACCAATACACATCAGTTGAGTAATGAAATATAACAGTCCAAGCATGACCAATAAATAGCCCAGCAGTGGCAAATGCCAAGCAGTGCCTTAACAACCAGCGCTGGCAAAGTACATATGTATCGGACTCGACACACAACCAGCCTGGGTGAACCGATTTTAACAATTTTGCCCACAACCGGCTGCACTCCACAGGGCAACTGAATTCCACATTAAAAAGTCACTTTAAAACTTGAAAATCAGTCAAAAACAGGTGCTGGCACGAAATTTGTGTGCGTTCATAGACAGAGAAGCACTGTATACTTATATAACTTTTAAAATGTAAAGGACTATAAAAATGTGGATATAAAATTGTGAGAAGTTATTTTTGAACTTACCTTTTCGACTCCATCCAACCACTGGTTTTGGGTTTCCGTCAATTAAACATTCCAATATAGCTGAGTCTCCTTCGAGTACACTGACATTTTGATTGCCAGACAGAAATTTAATAGGTCTGCTGGTGGCATCTTTGCAACAATAAAAATTAAAATTATACAGTTAACACTAAATGACTAAAAAAATAATCCATTGCTAAAAATGACAAGATCCTTTAACACTTTATATGTTGCTTACATCACCAGATCTGTTTACCCTCAAACTCTAAAAATCGTACAATATCATCAAAAAATCATTCAATACATTATCTAAATAGTAAAAAAATTATAATACATTATATGTAATGTATACACCTCAAAATCGTATATTGTATGCCAAAATCATAAGAGTAAACAGGTTTGCATCACTAGTCAATGCAAGTCTATGATATGGCATTTAAACTTACAAGGAAGATTTGCAAAAATCACCTGTAATGACTTTAAGTTCTGCCTGTCTACTGGTTTTCCAGTAAAACTTAACACTTTCTTGAATTGTGAAAGGATAGGCGGCTGCCTGACACCAGTATAGACCTTCATCACTGGCTTGAACATCAGAGATTTGCAAAATCCCTGAAGG